CACACACACACACACACACACACACACACACACACACACACACACACACACACACACACACACAGACACCGTGGTCATGCAGGCGTGTGTGCATGCGCGCAGACAGTCATGTAATCGCTAATTATGAGCGTCGAGGATACAATTGAATTACACGCACGCAAGCACACACGCACGCACGCACTCACACATACACACGCACGCACGCACTCACACACACATACACACGCACGCACGCACATCCGCGCACGCACGCGCACCCAAGCACACACCCACGCACGCACGCGCACCTAAGCACACACCCACGCACACGCACGCACACGCACGCACGCACACGCACGCTCTCACACGCACTCACGCATGCACACACCCACGCACTCACACACACGCACACACTACTCGCACACACGCGCGCACGCAAACACACACACACACACACCCACGCACGCACACCCACGCACGCACACCCACGCACGCACACCCACGCACGCATTCACACCCACAGACGCACTCACGCATGCACACACCCACGCACACACTAGTCACACACGCATGCACACACCCACACACACACTAGTCACACACGCATTCACACACACGCGCGCACGCAAGCACACACCCACGCACGCACAACCACGCACGCACTCACACACACACGCACGCACGCACACCCACACACGCACGCCATCACACACACATACGCACGCACGCACGCACACCCACGCACTCACGCACGCACACCCACGCACTCACGCCATCACACACGCACTCACATACACACACACACACACACGCACGCACACCCACGCACGCACACCATCACACACGCACACACAACGCGTGCACATAGGCACATTCGCTCGTTCTCCCTGTTTGGGCCTATGCTAGCTGTCAACATTTGTTTAGCCGTTTTTTCTCTGATTTTATTTCTGTCTTAATCTGTCCTAACTCTACCAAAATAATCCCCAACCTCCCTATCTATCACCCTCTATCTCTCTCCATCTCTCCCTCCCTTCATTCTGAGCCCTTCCTACGTCTCTCGTTCTCTCTCTCTCTCTCTCTCTCTCTCTCTCTCTCTCTCTCTCTCTCTCTCTCTCTCTCTCTCTCTCTCTC